GATATGCGATCGACTCACTCTTGTTTTTGCTTTTCCAGGAAGGCCATCTCAACTTCACACGTCTTTCGAAGCAGCGGTTGTAGTGCGAGAGGACAACCACCGAATCCGTTCTCTTCTAATCTGCAAATGGGCAAAACTTCCAAGGATCCAGAATCGAGAATAAAGCTGTGAAAATCTATAAATCAATAACATAAATATGCACGGAATGAAAGGTGATTTTACAAATGGAATAAACAAAAGCCTTTCAATGTAACATCACTGTTTTCATTATTTTCTTTCATCAGGAATCGCAAAAGACTTGCGAATACCAACAGTAGGGAACGAACCGTCGTTCGGCTGCTTCTAGTTGAACTCGTAGGTTATCAACTTCTACTTGGCTAACGCCTCCATCGTTCGTTGATCTTAATACAGCCAGAATGACGTTCTCCACGAAATTACTGTTTGAAAACTCACCGTCTGCTTCGCTCTTCATGCCACTTCTTTTGTTCATGATCAAATTGATTTTCCATAGATTTCAATTCTTTCAGTTTCTGGGAGAGCTCTGTTACCTGTAGGCGAGCTCGACGTCGTTGTTTAACGTAGAGAATTAAAACGGATGTAAGCAAAAGAAGCTAAAATAGAATTCTCCTTCGATGTAGGTAGATAAAAATTGGATACTTTCAAAAAGCGTTACCAAAAGAGCTAGAGCAATGTCTTTTCCTTTAGAAGAAGGATCGCGGTGGCCGAACAGGACAACGTCAAGTGCGTTGAGTCGTAACTTTTGACGATGTACTGATGACTTTATTCCAAGATAGTTTGTCATATATGTCGAATTGTGCACTGCCAACCTGAAAGATCAAAGCAGTTCACATCGCTGAGGAACTCTTTAACTTCGCCCAGCAACCTTTTATCATTTAGAGAGAGATCTCGTTGAAATGACTCCTTCTTGACTTATCAATTCTCTATTTTTTAGTCGAGATTCATTAGCGTAAGGCTGAATATAAACTCTATTCCTCTAGTACCCTCATCAAACAGCGAATATTCACCTTGGCAACACTGTTCCATCTATCTTGAGCTCCACTATCCGTTCCGCATACATGGGAAGATTGACCTCATTCACAATCCAGTTGAGAACCTGAAGCGTTTGATATTCAGAGCATTTCAATGATCAGAACAATTTTTAAAGAATAATCGAAGAACATTAATAGTCAACAAAGAGCAGTTATGATCGAAAAAATGGACTGTAGAAAAAAATTTAAAATTGAGGCGCACATGGTTTCCGTACATCAAAGAGAAAAACATCGTCAACAACACTTCGCAACGTCTTAAACCTTTTTATCAGCTACAGAAAGGTAACACCCACTACACCTTCCCGGAGAAGCAAACGGAACCCAATGCTCAACATTGTATACGCTTTTTTAGCTCAATTAGCCAGGCGGGTTTTTCTAAAAATTGAACTAGCCGTGAACTAGGAAGATAGGGAAAATAAGGTCAAACAGGTAGCCTTTGCGATGGCCCAACTCACCATATTTTGGCACGATCCAGACAAAGCTCTATTAATAAGACAGGTAACGAAGTGAATCTAAGATAATTGAAAGGCAATGAAGCACGTGGGATAGACAGACTGTGCAAAAGAAGACCGACAGGAACGGCACGCTTGGATACCGAACATTTCAATAAATACCCATATATACTAATGACCAATGATCAATAGTATTTGACAAAACAAGCAGCAGAATTAGCATAAACCTGGTCATTTGTCCACGATCGTTCATCACTTTCGAACCATGCTTCCCAGAGGTCATCGATCGTAATGGCATCATCATTGCCATGGAAGGCATGTTCACGTCGAGCTCGGTCAGAACTCCGCATGTGCATATCCTCCGTCATGAACTAAAATTTCCACATTACTATATGAAGCATAGGTTTCCTTCTCCCTTATTTACAGAAATGATTCAGTCAAACGAGGAAAAAACTGTTTGAGAGCTCTGATTATCTGCCAATACTTTGCATGTTCTGTTATAAAACCTCCACAACTTTTCCAAAAGAAACTTGGTTGATAAGGAAGTCACCATCCTTAAAAAGTTCCAATCAAAGACTCTTTTGGAACACACTGCTAACTCTGAATTCTCTGGCATCATCATGACATCAGTTATCGAGTTTCTCATGTTACGGAATGTCTCACAAAAAGTATTTCACATGAATGTTTGAAGAAGCTATGGACACTGCATTACAAATTCCATTTCCGATGAGTTATGACCTTTTAACTTATCAAAACTTAATATATGAGAGAGGAAATTGTAGATTTCGTGAGGAACTAAAAAAAGCAAAACGTCGCACATACATCATTCAACAAAAGACCATTTGTCTTGTATTTACACATTTGTCGACGTAAACTGACAAATAGCATCAGTTTACGTCGACAAATCAAGAAATCAGAGAATATCCCGGTTCCCGCATCTGGTATGCAAAATCCACATAATATACTCTCAATATCCCAACAAATTTAGAACTTCAATCCGGGTGATGTGTCTGCAATAATCGTCTTGCATTATGCTTGCACAAGCGTTAACTCATCTTACTAAGCAGTTCTCTTGAATATCGGTTCAGAATATTTGAAAAAAAAAAAAGAAAACATGGCTGAGGGTAAAGGGATTAGCAGAGATCAGCATCTTCTTGCAGCATTAAAAAATATTGATCAATGGTGCCAACCTTGGAGACTTTTCTTAGGATCTCCATACAAATTCCACACTAAATCGCCTACCGCACCTTGTTCACGCCTAATGCATCGGCTAGTACGTTGGTTGTGTGGAAGATAATAGTCCTCCGATCTCCACGGTTTTGTTTATTTTACTTTATAATCCCTTTAAATAATGCGTGTTTTCGGTGTTTAGGGAATCACCTTACCCAAAATTTAGCGGCTTGTATGGGCTCAAACGAGCGATTATCAAAAAAAGCTGATTAAATATCTGTTTTTTGGAAAGATGATGGCAAACAAAATTAAGTTTCTTGTCACCAGAATCTCACAACACCTCAATGATTATTAAGATGATATTTTGGAAAGTCTTCATTCTCCTTCACCTAAGGCAGAAGACAATATCAATCCTCGACCAAAAGAAAGCACTACACTCACGATACCATCGCAATGTTTCACTTATCACGTGAAAACAATATTTATCGATGCCCCGATGCCTTTAGCGAAATCTTTACAGTGAGTTATGTTGACATTATCACAACCTAAATAAAATCAACGACTTTTTAACTCATATGAAAACAGTCTCAGAATAAGCAAAAGTGGAACAGCAAATTTACCATCCCAGGCACAACATAATGGATGATAATCCTTTTTTTGAAATATGCTTTATTTTATTGTTTTATTTGTAGTTTACGCAGATGAAAAACTAAATGGCGATCATGTTTACCAAAGATTACGTGGGCAAATATGCAAACAAGCTATAGACACACCAACGCGCATTGCGATCCCAGGATTAAAATGAGGGAGTTAAACTTAATACAAATAGTAACTGCATCATGTTTGGCGGCTGACTCCTTCTGAAGGCCATCAACTTCAGATCTACAGGCCACTTCGCGGAGTCACGTCGTCTCATTGACCAAACGCTTATCTAGCAATATTTTCGCAAAACTCAACTGCTAACATAAAAAGGGCCGCCTCAGTACATCACAGCCCTTCCATATCTCAACGTGACGTTAAACAAATCGACCAAATCTTTGAAAACACATGAATAAGACGTGTCGTAACTAGGACTAAAAGCCAACATGAGTCATTAGAGGATTAGTCATATCACTTTCAATCGGGAACTAGCCGGGAGTGATCATCTGAGAGCAGACTTCTGGCAAGAAAAAGAGATGCATCTATATGAAGAGGCAGTTTAGCCATGAATTTCAGACTTAACAACTCACACCCGTGGTTTCTTTCCTATCGATTGACCCTGAGTGATCATCGTCCATTTCTCGGTGAATTTCAGCAATGGCTTGATATCCGGCGGCATCTCGAACTTTCTCCTCTTCAGCTGTTACCACAACATCTGCAATTTCAAACCATTCACATGCATGAAAGCTGATTCAGTAATCTTTGAGGAAAAAATACCGAAACGGCGAACTAGTAACAAGCTTCTGTTGTTACATCTTGAAATAAATACTGACACTTCCAATGTCAATACACAATGAGGATAGCAGAGACTCACTTCTTGTCGCCTTTCCGGTCTTTGACGCTGTAGAACCTTGTACAAGTAGGATTATGAACACCAAAAACGACTGCCTGCCGTACCGCGACCACCTCATATCGATTTTATTGCTATGTCCTCACCCTTCACCACCACCTCATCTGAAAAAAAAGAGTATGACAATTTTTCATCAAAAAGAAACCAGCTTTGCATTTCTACATCAAAACGTTGACACAGGCATGCGAAAAAGAACAAAAGATAACGGAACAATAGATGAAAGGATGCGGCAGTGATGCAGAACAAAACACATCAATTGATAAGCGAGACGGCAAGCAATTCGGCAAAGCATCTGACCCTACAGGAGATGACGGTTCAGTAATAGTGATATTGAGACAAAATGTCCCAGACATTGTTGCTTACCATTGACCCATAAAGATATAACAAGATAAAAATCAATTCTGAAAGCAGAACCACGAAAGCTAAAAATGTACATGGAAGCCAAAATGCCAATGACTACCTGGGTACTATGTCAAGAAGGGCTAGAGTCATTTCCTAGAGCGACTGAAAATGTGTAGGATTATCTTCCACCTTATAGGAATAGACAATAGTTCTCGAAACCCTAAATAGAAGTATTGCCCTAGATCAAAAACCTCCAAGCGAATTCGATGTAAACCTATATTTTAGCAGATCCACTGAGTAAAATGCAACATCGGTCAAAAATTAGGAAGCCTACAAAAAGCACGGTAACCCTCTCACTCGTTAAACTGCTCTTTACTTGACAAGACCCACTCAGATAAGAATCCTTCGAGAAGAAACTGCTCGATAAGTCGCTCGTCATACTTCTACTGGTGACTCCTGGTAGGAGACCGCTTATCAAAATACTGCTAGGAAATAAACAATGTAGACGTTGCACTTAGAAGAAAGAACAGTGAAGGGGACTTCCTTCTACTGCAAAGTATAAATACAGGAAAGAAGAAAACAGCAAAGAAATTTGATTAGAAAAGTTCATATCAAAGTTGGCAACGAAAACGATTGGTAAGGCTGCTTCGGAAGGTTTCATACTAGTAAATACAGAGAGACTACACCCTGAGTATGTCCTATGACGGTATCACTGATTGAACGGGCCCCACCCTTAATTAGAACCGTCAAACCGGACGCGCCAACTTTTGCGTTTAAGTGGAACGGGATCTGAAGTTTGACATTTTTGTGCCGCATTCATGACGATAGCAACCCTTCTCTACCGCAATCACAGCGTGCATAGACCTCAAAGACAGCAGAAGTAAGGTTCCAACTACAAATATCGCGACTTGCATCTGCTTTTATCAAAGCCGTGGGTCAAGATCTCGCGATGGGGCGTCCTATCAAGTATTTCTGATCGCTGCCAAACATCAGAGCAACTTTCCGTGATTAAGCGTTGCAAAGATGAGGAAACTTGAAATGTTTTGAGTAGTTCAACTCGTAATCTTCACACTCCAACACGAAGACAACCGGGAAAGATGTGCGCAATGGTGCACCTTTTCAAAGAAAAAAATCGATGACAAAACACGAGCAGAAGCTCCAAGAAATTGAAATGATATCAATCAAAGCGGTGAAGATCGAGCACTTTGTTCACGGAGCATTTTAACCTATTGGAAAGGACGTTGCGCATGGACGTGCAGCTGCGTATCGCGACGCCGAGGGAGAGGGAGTGGCGGGAATGAGGTGAATTGTTCGCGAAAACCCAGTTAATTGCACTCAGGCGCGGGTGGATTCAGGAAATAGACTTCCTGTTCTTGTTGAGATTCTGTTTCCTGTCTCCTTACAGGTGTATTAGATGTGGTTCCATACCGTGTGCCTGCAGCTTACAACAAAAAAAGTGTCTACAAAGAATTAATATCCTGTATTTCAGTCAGAAGTTTACATTTGGAGCACTGAGAAGTACAGAGAAGGTGGACCAAGATCTCTGTACTAAGGGGCCAGTACTGTCCCGGACTAGCAGGCCAACTTCTGGACTGTAATCACTCCCTACAATAGAGCTTGGAGCACTACTCGTAAAATTCCCACGAGTAGATGAAAGTTCTACGCCTCATATTTCCGGTTATGACGTAGCCTTTGACACGATTCCGTCCGGTGGAACGACTTCAAAAGGGTTGCTAGAATTTTGGTAGTACAAAGGCTACAAAAGAAGCTTTGAGAGCCAACATAATTTCAATGCACGGGCGCTTCCATCGGGAACGTACATACATATATTAAAGACGCGATTATACAAGCCAGTACATTCAAGCACATCCCCATGAGATCAACCGCGACGTGGTGACGCTGCCCGTGCTCATTCACAAGGCTTGAAAAGAACTCTTCGAAACATGTGACAGCAGGGGAGTCAGCGAAGAGGGTTCCCTGTCAATACATCAGTACGCAGTGGCGGTAAACATCGATTCGAACAAAAACTTGACAGCCCCAATAGGGCGTTTGCGATTGGAATAATTTGGCACGACGCCAGCTTTGACGGCCTTCGTCGTATACAAATCGATATCAAGCTGTAATAAGATGAAAAGCTGAAAGCATATCGCAAAATTGTTTGGTCTAGGTCACAATTTTTTTCAAGGTCACCGCGGGCGACATCAGAGCGAAGAATGATCCCGTGAAAAAGGCCAAAAATCTTCAGATCAGTGCTCACGGAATAGAATGAAATGAGCACGGTGAGTCAGAGTTGGCCATGTCAATCAATCCAATTCAAGATAACACTTCTGGAAACCCACCCATAGCTGGTTCTCTAGGGAGGCATCCATATGCAGTTCTATACGCAATGTAAAAGCCTGCAAGATTTTCACTCAGAAAGCTCGCCTAACAGATTACAGTCCTCGATGGGATCGTAACATCGTGATTCCCAGACAATTTCGTTTCGTGTGCACGGAAGGAAAAACGATAAGTTTATGTGCCCCTACACATGACAGATTTCTTTGCTACCAAAGATTACAAGAAGGATCGATCAATCTGGTCGGTAACCAATTAATTTTTGCAGAGGACGTCCTTCAAATGATTGGCTGAATAGAATATTGAGGATAGTCCTGCAAGCGAGCTAGACTCCGAAGTGGTTTCAGCAGGAGAAATCGAACAGACAGTGAGGCTATTACGAGAAATGAAGACTTCAATCCAATCGAGAACGGTGAGCAAAGAGTGCTATCGAAACCACAGGCAAAGTGAATTTCACTATACAGCCTATACAATTCAAAATTTCTCAACGCTCTAAGACCACAACTCAAAATTCTGCAGTAATTATATCGTTCAAACCTTCACAGCCACTCTTGAAAACGTTATACGCCAAATGAAAAGAAAGGCGTAGGAGAGAAGGCGAACGTTCGGCCGCTACTGCACCTCCTCATCGCACACGAGATCGAGCTTATGTCACTTATCGAACAAGTAGTTCTGGCCAAGTTAAGCAACGCTTACTACAGGAACGATAGGAAGGTGAATTTAACAGACCATGTTGACCCTGTAACTAACTGGTTTTGTTGGTTTTGGATGCTCCTCATACGCCACAGTGAGCATTTTCATGTACTTTGCCACAACTGCCTAGGCCGCAAATTCAGCATGATGCAAAGTTCAGCAATGAAGGTGAGTAGAATGCAAGGCATGGAAGCGTGGAGGAGGTAAAGAAGAAGGGTTTTTGGCCAGATTGTCGAGCCTCTGCCGTCCTTTCTTGTCCTTTAGTAGGCATGCAAGGAAATTCACGACATAAATTGGTGCAAGAGGAGTCTCAAATTTTTACCTTCATTGGAAAACGGTGATTAGGGACGCAGCTCCACGTCATGAAATCAATGATCAGGTAAACCAGACACGACACCCGGTTTTCTGATGACTGTTGAACTAGTACGGTTACTTTTGATTAGAAAACTCTGCGGGAAAGGGTGATGCGTTTTGTGATCTTCACGCTCAGTGGACTACATTTAACAGCAAAACGAAAGGGAGGAGACGATGCCCACGTTTTCTTGAGAGGACCAATGATTAACAGAATCCCATGATACAGTAGGCATAGATGGTTTAGAACAAGCAGTAGCAGTATTTAGTTGGGCACAACTACCTCGAAGGAGTCGGTCTTCAGTAACTATCTCACAGCATTAGACCTGCGAACCAGGAGCTAAGTGCTGAAGGGCAAGCAATTAAACAACCAATTTCAACAATGATTTCTGACTGATGAGGGAATCTCTGAACTGTTGATAGGTTTAGGCGGCCTAAATCTAATAGTAAGTTGCATCAGTATGGTCGAGAAGTTTCTCTGAAAACATTAAAAACTAGCAAAAATGTAGTTAAGCAAGAACTGAACATAATCTCGTCAGGGTTACGACAATCGCTACACAAGTTGTAAGGGATAAGCATGCGGGACAGATTCCTTGATCCTTTCACCTTTGGAAGGTACAACTACCTGACACAAGTGTGGTGGTGAAATGAAAAGAGAACGGGATCACTTATCGTTGGAAGAAAATCAATAGTTGTCTGCTTATTTTAGCGGTTGCTGAATTCAAATAAAGCGCAGAAATGGGAGAGTCATTCAATTGTTTTTAGACCCTTGTCAATACTATTGTTTGCCTGAAACACAGCGTTCATAACAATGGGTGCAATCGAAACGGTATTAACTTTTTGCGATATCATCAAGTATCGATTCATGAAATTCATTTCCTGCCATGCTATAGCCTGTCACATATCGGAATTCATCAAAAAGGAGTCGAATATTGCTGCTCTTGGAATAAAAATATTTATGAGTAACTTGAAATTTGTGAACAATAACAGTTTTCTCGAAATTCTAAGCTATCTAAGAAAGGGATATTTCGAGAAGAAACCTTGCGTCTATAGTAAACGCGACAAGTATGAATAGCAGTTGCAATCTGTGGTTAATCGTATAAGGATTGCAATGGAAGGTCCTTCTAGTTATAGGAAATCATGAAATATGGAAAATTTCACGGAAAAGATTGAACAAACCTGCGTGCCGAGTTTAGAAAACCGGAGAAAGGAACTTACTCGAGAAATTCTTATGGTGATTAAGCCTCTACAACTGTAATAAACAGCCTAATCTCTACTGATTTACCTTAATGTCCATTACAAGTTCCATGGAAGGTAGACCTCAGTGCGAAGCGGTGCGAGCGTCATTCCATTAGCTGACAGAATCAATCAATAGCCAGTGATTACAGGCGTGCTGTTACAGGTCTAAACCATTGCCGCGGAATCGCTCGAGTCGCACGGTCTGAACGCGTCATAAGCCGAACCACCGTAAGTGTGTCCCGGCACTATTTTTCATAACCATTCATGAAATCTGAGATGCAGCCATTGATAGGGGAACTTAACCATTTTATGTGAGAGAGATTATGAAAATGGAAGGTTCACTCAGTTTGAAGCGACTCCAAGGCAAAATGCGACTTGAAAGCCTCATTCTTCACTTTACTATAACTGTCAAGATGCTTTTTGAATCAAAGACGCTGCATGAAGGAGAAAAAAAGAAAAACAAAGCGAAGAAATACTCACGTAACACCAACTCCAGCACACTGACTTTAGTGAGTACAACCAGTTCGCAAATGAGTAACGACTTGATTCAAAACTGATAAGAGACCAAGCTGGACATGGGAAATGTGTCTGGAGAATGGCAGACGAGATGATCTGTGGGTGGTCGAGTGTACGAAGGTTATGTTGTGTGTAGATACTGTGACATACACACATACACGGACCCTGTCTACCTGCTTCTGACCATTCCCGTTCACACCGTGCGAGCAGAGACGCAGAGGAGGCTCGGTCGTCCGCTCCGTTCACGGTCGTTTCTCTCCCTCTCGTTCTCTCGCTCTGTCTAACTCTATCTTTTGCGCTCACCACTCCCAACACTTCTGTTATCCACATATCTACTAATTAAAGAATCCTGGTTCCGTCTACAAATGGCCGAAGACCCGGAACTTTTAAAAAGGCGACATGAGCAACAACAACTACGGAAACAACTACATGGTTAGTTAAATGTCTTCCATAATTGGATTTACTGTCGCGGTTTCTTTTAATTTCTGCATGTTTTTTTTGTTCTTCGGTTGTCATTGTTCTTTGAATACTGTGACTCTATCTGATTAGTTCGTGTAGGATCGTATTGAGTGGTTTTTTCTTTAAAAATCGTGACGAGATTCGCGATGCAAGATCTCTTTATTCAGAAGTATTCGGGCCGTTTGATCAATTTTGTGAGTATGTTGCTGGTACGACCAGTGCCGGTTCAAGCGGTATCATGCGTCATGGAGTAGTACAGGTTAGTATTATGAATCGGGTCGTAAGCGTGAATATCTGCAGCGCGCGTCGTTCGGTTGCGGCGGACCAGGCGGCGATCTTGGCCGATCGTTGTGCACGTTGCAGCAGATATCATGCGTTTCATCGATAGAATGACAATAGCCGATGGAAATCGGTGACAAGTGGAGCCGAGATCAGTGTATAACAGATTGAAGAGCTAGCTATCAGCTTATCTTTTGTTTTGACGGTATAATTTACTGTCGGTACCATTTTAAAGTCCTTTTCGCATACCAAGCAGCCGAACAGCATTCATAGCTAGCTGCTGCAACGTTCTTGAAAACCCTACTCGAAGATAGCTTCACTCAGATAGTTCCATTACGGTGGAAGAGATTTTGTGGAAAAATCAGTTTATCTGGAACACCAGGATCTTGAAAGCTAATCCGGAGCTTTATTTTGCAACTTTCATTAATCTAAAAGCCAGAATTTTCCAGCTGTACTGCTGATCCTTGTGGATCCTAGAACATCGGATCACTTGCAATTAGGTTTCGTTTCCAATTTCGACAACTTTATTTTACTGCTGTAATGCAACTTAAGTCCTCACGCTAGGCCTATTCCTATTTGGAGCGCTTTGTTTACAATACAAAACTCTGAATAAGGTGAATTACTCCGTCTCAATCAGATACTTAATCCGCACAAGTTTGTTCTACAAGGGTATTTGGTTGTGAACAGATTTAAGACTCCGTTGAATCAGTAACAACGTGTCTTAAACTGCATTATTTAATTGCATTTTGTTTTTCCGCGCTTTAGTTCTTTTGTGGTTGTGAAACGAGTTTTCTAGAAATGCTCACATCTAGGTGTTTTGCCTAATACAGTGCCAATTTCCTTGGTTAATGCAAGGTGAATTTATTCAATTTATCCCATAAGAAAGGAGTTCTAAATTACCGTGCAGTTCGTTGTCAGAGTTGAACACTCCTCGAAAACGAGGTCAGTAATGTGATCTACGGCTGCAGAAAACTAATGGACGGAGTCGACAATATAGAGATGCTGTGCCATAGACAAAAAATGCATCGACCACGCAGCTGTGCTTCCCAAACACCGTGTCATCCGCACTGCTTTCCCGGGGCTCCATGCGCTTCATTTTAGCTCTTCAATGATACTGTTTTCAATTTGGTTCCCAGATACCAACTTCACCTGTTGTATGTTTCTTTTCTTCATCATACGCTTTGTTACCTATTCCGCCTTCTAACTCAGCCGATTCTCATGTCATAGGTGCATTTGCGTAATGAAAGGATGGCTTATCAGCGCCCACACGTGTGATGCTGAGCCAGTTAGCCGATACCAGCAAAGCATCGTGAATCTTCAACTTTTGATAGGCATAACTTGCTTCGATTTGTTTTGTTTTGTTAAAGATTAACATCTCACAAGGCAGATCGTGATAGAAATGAGATTTCCTGGGTATCAATGCTCTAAAGCGGGTGGATTCTCAGTAATACCAACTTTCAGATTCCAACAACACCGTTGACTCCATCAGCACGATCAAGTATGCCAGCCACTTCATCAGCAAGTACTTCCACTACTCCTCAGCAATCAACTCAACAATTATTGCAGGTAACCGCTTTCCAATTATTTTCACACTTCCTTTTTTATTCTTGTTTTTTGGTTCCTTCACCCGCAAAATCCTCTTATGCTAGTATTGATTTTTTATCATTGCCCGCTTTCTGATAAGCCAACAAGTTACTTTGAAGGTTGTAGTAGGCGTAGTACTGAAGGCTACGTTTCCGATGTAAATGAGTGGCTTACCATTGCTGAAATTATTGATTGATTGCCCTGGTTTCCAAAAGTTCCCAGAAGGTCTTTTACACGTTTTTACATGTTTGGTGTGTTTGGGAAGCAGCGCCAAATCAAACCCATCTTTTGGCTACATTGTCAGTGAGGGTCAACTCTCGGAAACCATGGGACCTGGAACTTCTTCCCGAAAACCACAGGAAGCTATACACCTAATCTTGAACTCTTTCTCATAGCCTCCAGGGTCATGGGAAGGAGTTCCAGATAAAGTGAATAACTTCTTGTAGTGTTCTGAGCCCATTGTTGCACGTTGCAGGGATTGTTAAGCTCATTTTGACCCTCATTGCAAATTAGGTTCCGGCAAAAATCTTCACTCCCCTAGCTCTCAAATGTTTCTTCCCTGTGGTGATCCTTTCATAGCAGGACATAGAAGCAGAAAAGGAAAAGGGAATTGCACGGAAACGAGGCTTGTAGCTAGAACTGTCTCTTCAATGGAGTGCAGCAAAAAGCTGTTATAGTAACCGCCAAAGTTATGGCAAATTTACACGATTATCAGTAAAAACGGCTTGCGCTAGAGGAGTAGTAGTCCTCTGCAACTTCTCAACACGCTCTTTTTTGTATCTTCTCTGGGATCTTAGTAGGCAGTCACCTTACCCAGTGGAGCTGAAGATGCCAAGACAAGTGGTAGTGGTAATCACTACTTCGAAGTAGATTGGCACCACGACATCCGCTCTGCTGCTGATAATTGTCGGCTTTGCCCAGTGTCTTTCTGTTCATAGGCACAGTGGAAGAGCCCTAAGAATCCTTGTCTTCGGGTGTGACACTAGCAGCGAGAGTTGCTGGGTACTCTATATACATATGGGTGAAGCCATGAACATAACATCGCAGAACATAGTTACATAGGGCCAATTGCTTATGTAGATGTCAGTTTTCTAGCATCTCACTTGACCTTTCATAACTTCCATGTAAACCGAGACACCAAATGACCCATTCTCGAAATAGAGTTGTGGGAGGAATCGAACCGATATAATAGGGTTCTGACTTATACCTACTGCTGTACTTATACCCTGTCTCTCTTGGTTCATCGTATAGATTAGACTCAAAACTTAGTTATTGTTTCGAAAATCACCCTACAGTACTGCTCACGTTAATCATTAAAGCCGTTGGCATTTCTATCTTTTTCTGAGGCTTCTTCTTTGTCATTGATCTTTTGATGACTAAGTCGGAATTATCTCCTTTCAGAGCATGCAAAATCTTGTCACATCTCCTATTCAACCGCTTCAGGGATTACCGTTCTGTAATCGGGTAAGTAGAACTTTGCTCATTTCATAAAACAGATGCTATTTCCTCTTTTATTTCCATTTCACTTGCTTCCGATTATGTTATAGCAGACTCATTTTTCTATTTGCTCATTTGTCCGACTATTCACCGAGCCCATTTCGCGTTATTTCAGTGAGATATTGAATTTGTGAAGCAGTTTTAATACTGACAACTTTGAGATAAATTAGTAGCGCAGATGCTGATGTAAGAGTTGAAAATTCGAGAATGCCTCGTGCGGATGATAGTGACATATCCACATTTCCGAGCCTGCCGTGTGTATTAGCATTCTTAAGTATGGTCTAAGCTGGTTTTTGAACTTACAAAATCAATTAGCCTCACTGTTGTACATAATACTACGTGTCTGTAATATTTGCCACTGGAAGATCCCAAATAGTACCAATATATGTAGGGTCACCTAATCCTGATATATGTTAGCTCAGAGTTGCATTGAAAGTTTTGATGAAACAGACCTACATTTTGTCTCGCCAGTATTATGAGCGTGAAGCTGATAAAACGAAAATCTGATGATGTAAGGTAGGGGTAATTGTCGTTGTTGTAACAAGTCCAACGAAGCGGTTGATGGGTACATGGTTGTATCTTGTATCCCGTTCATGGGTTATAATGAGACTACATGATTTACGAGTTTCACTTGTTTTCAATGATGATAGTTTTCCCCTTATAGAACTAACCTGCATCTATAGGGATGGAATGTAGGGTTTATACTAGTTTCAGGACTACTTGAACACTGCTCCGTCTTCATCTACGCATAGCGCCCCGGACACGGAAAGCTCGGCGAAGAAAGGAAAAAGACACAGAACAATGGATAGCGATTCTGAAGTGGATAGAGATAAAAGAAGGCGTCGCAATGAGGAAGCCAGGGTTTGTAGAAGTGTAAAAGTATTCAGTATTAAATTCAAATTCGCTTTCATCTCATTTGGTTTCACGCTGATGGATACGTTTTTTGCTCAAAAAGTTGAAGCTGGAAGGAAAATTCTTATAGTGGGATAGAACTCCTGTTGCTAGGAGTCGTTTTCTAGTGTTACTGTTTTCGTTGGAGCAGACTTTCACAACGGCGGTTAGATTTTATAAATGCGATCACAGATGAGTGCGATCGCAGTATCTCTGGGAGTGGGAAAGAAGGGGATACGAGCTTTGAGGCTGAACACATGGAATGGCTGAACACATGGAATGAATGATATCAGTGATTCATGTAGTTTTCATTACGAGATTCATGTAGTTTTCATTACGAACGTTTATCGTTTTTATAATGGTGTTTGTTTCTAGACGTCCGAGACTCCTAGTACTAGCCGCTCTAATCCACCGTCGTCGTCCAATTCCGATAGTATTCGAGCGTTGTTTGGAAACGATGTTGATAGAAAGGTTCTTGCCTCGATTTTCTTCTTAACGATGGTTTTCTTTTTTATACGGCTTTTTAGGAGCCCCCAGATAAAGGTATCAGCCCTGATTCGGGTGTTCATTCGGCAGAGAACGACCCTGGTGATGAAAACGACGTCCATTCTGCCCAGTCTATTATTAATTTAATAACTAAGTGAGTTATAATTGACGATCGATTCGATCTTTCGATAGTCGATTTGTTGAACTTTTATGCTATTGTTCCTCACAAACTTGGTGATGTTTGAGATTACTTTTTTATGAGAATCTCAGATTGTCCCCTCCTCTTTCGCCAATCAAACAACGACCTACTGATAAGAAAGCTGAACGGGAACGAAGGGAAATGGAGATTAGAGAAAAGGTGAGCAGAGTGGAAAACTGGATGATATAAATTTGTAAGTATCTTCGGTTTACTTTTTCCCCTTTCATTTCCCGCTTTGTGTTCAGGAAAGAATTGAACAACAAAGAAGAGAGAAAGAGGAACGGGAACGCCTGGAAAAGGAGCAAGCTGAACGCGAAGAAAGGATAAGGAATGAACGCCTGGAACACGAGAGAAGGGAAAGAGAGCGAGAAGAAAAACAACGGAGAGCGAGAGAACGGGAAGAAAAGGAGCGCCGAGATAGAGAACGTGAAGAAAAGGAACGCGAGGACAGAGAAAGAAAAGAGAAGGAACGTGAAGAGAAAGCCAAGCGGGAAAGGGAAAATGAGGAGAAGCTGCGCAAAGACAGAGAAGAAGAAAAACTCCGAAGGGAGAAAGAGCGAGAAAAACGGAAAGAAAGAGAAAGGGATCGACATTCCGCTGAAAGGCGACCCAAAGATTCAGAGCGAAAGGATAGAATCAGTGAACGATCGGAGAAGACCAAGGCAGGGGATGGCGAACGTCAGAAACCTGTGGAAAATGAGCACAAGTCCGAAGAACATGTGAGTAATTCTTTCAGTTGCAGTGATAACTTGATTTTTTTCATTCCCATTGAACATATTTTTCACGGCATCTCCTTTTTTTGAGAAGTCGAAATGTGGTGATTTTATGTGGGAAATTTATAACTTAAAAAGCCACTGACGTCTGTTTTGAGTTCTGTTTGGTTTAGGGTTCTCGCACCGATGGTTTGCGGGGCGAAATCATCCTCAAGGGTCTAGATCGATCTAGATTGAATCAGCTTATCGAGATCGGAAGGAGAACGGGCCGGATGAAGGTAAGGTACCGTTCCACTCATTCTGCGTTTTCAACGGTCACCGCAGTATTACCACAATTATAGGATGATCGAAAAGAGGATAGAAAGGAGGAGAGGAAGGAGAGGAATGACAGCAACGTGGAGAAGCGCAAGGATAAGAAAGAAAAGGAACGGAAGACAAAGGACCAACTGGGCGTCGATGAGCTAGATGCACTGAGACGAGAAAAGGAGTCTAGTGCAAAAAGCAGTCCGGTGAGTGCATTCAGTCCGTGCTGCAATACTTGTAGCCTGAAAAAACTCTCCACCTGTTAGTGCAGTATTTTTTCCAGTGTATACCGCGTGCATCCAGCTCCCAGTCGCATGACGGTAGTGACCACGGTCAAGTTCATCGCCCGTCTTCGGTTGTTGGCAGCCATCCTTCTCGCAGCAATTTTGAGTGTGCAGCGCCGGAATGTGTACCAGCGAAACCATCACGACCAGTGAAACCTGAAGAGGGCAGCACTGAAATGTTATACGATTTCTATCATTCGGTAGGAAAATCGCGGAAACGCAAGGCTGATGCTGAGGTGAACTTTTTTTCTGCATGTTCCTCATAACAGCGGCAATTGATATCTACATGATGTTGTTTTTAGGCTGACAAAGTTAACAAAATGTTGTTCTACCTCGATACTTCTGTATATTTCCTTTTATCGGCTAAGCATTTTACGTCAGCAGATTCCCCAGAAGTTCGCGGTAATCGCCAGTACTCAATAATTCGTGACACGAATGATCTGCTCAAGTTGGTTCTTTTCGATCTTTTTCTTTTATTAAGAATTGACCTTAGTGCGGGATATCTTTCATAAGCAGTTTTTCGTATTCGCTACTATCAAAGAGCTTTCTGTCGCCTAGTATAAAGGCAATATTTCTTGATCTCTCTACAGCTTTTCTTAATACTCCTTGAAGAGTAGAGGTTCTTTAATATTTTCTTCATTTCTTGTCATTCAGCTATTAATACTCTCTAATAACCTTTCAGATATTGATTTTTCTACTGTCTTCTTGAACTTTGTGTTCAATATTATTGCCCTATTCTTTTTTCTTGATCAACTGAAACCACTAGTATCTCACTATTATCTTTATTAATTGACATCCCTTCACAGTCACTATGTTATAAGATTGCGCTGAACTAAATCAGTACTCGGGCTAGTGTGCTCAATGACTCACCTTAGACGGTCGTGCAAGATTGAAAACGAGAAATTATGAGTAGTTTTTCTTGGAATGGCGAATTAGGCCGAACTGTTGGGTGGCTTGAACTAGGTATAGGAGATGTGATAGATCATTGGATCATAATTTATCGCTCCGGTTTGGGTTTTAATTTTAGCTTCCCTAATGAAAAGCTTACTGTCGAACTTCTTATTAAGGAGAGTGACGCATGCCTTTTGTGCAGTATCAGAAGGATGTTCACCTTGGCATATGCATATGTTATCTCGGATACGTAATCTCAGTTCGCGCTGTCAGGCCAATCTTTTGTATCACATGTACAATTTCAGATCTCAGGTAATGCTTTTCGCCCTTCCAAAACATGACAACTGATGATTTTTCCCTCTTTCAGAACGCTATAAAGTCGTACACCATGCTCATAAACATGGAGTCGCAAATCCAGGAAGAGAGACAAAATGCGCAAAACGGTGCCTCAACCACTACGACTTCCTCTTCTCCTGCTGTTAGCGTTCATTCCAATTCAAATCAATCTGTAACTTATGTAAGTTTTTTGCAGTCTCTATGCTTGAACTGGTTGACCTCTATCACTATCCGATGGTCATTCAGTTAACTGATTGTTTTCTTCATTCTGGATGTTTTTTCTACTGCTGAACTATTACGGAACTCAAAACACCTTAGTTTAGCGCTGTAGGAAATGAAAAATAAGGAGGGACAAGGGATTTATATGGGCTCTTACTCCGCTAAGTTTACTATGATGACGTGGATAACTGTATTGTGCTAGTAATCTCAGTTGTATGGGACCGTCTTCCATCGTGAAGTCGGTGACACTATTAATAGAAATGCCATTTTCAGGATTCATTTTTGCGTAGCTAAGCGTTGTAATCGATTCAGGTGACAATGCCGAGCAAAGTGTATGATGTACAGAGACAACAACTAAAAACACTTCATCATCTGATGTGGTCTCATCGAGTCTGGCAAGATGCCGCCAAACGTGCTGATATCAGCAGCATCGACATGGCATTTATTTCCGGGTATGCTTTCTTTTTTTGTGTTTTTGTGAACCTCGTTTTTTGTAAGGGTTTTCACGACTGCTTTTGATCCATAATGAGCTTTTAATTCTGTCTTCTTTTTTTCATTAAGTAGATATCAAAATTTTGGGTGTTCATTCGTTTGAGAAATAGCTTCGCCCACTTATCGAAGAACGCACACTTTCTGGGGTTCTGGATCCCCCATCCCCAAATCATTCATATTTGATAGAATCTGGAGACCTGCTCTTTTCTTCCTTCTCTTCGTTTATCGTTACAGGAAAATTTTGTTGGGAAGCAGATGTTCTATTACTTTATCTTAAACGAATGTTTCATAATTAGCATATTACACAAACTGAGGTTATGTTGAACTAGAAGAAAGAAGTTGTGATTTCAACCTAAATGGATTTTATACATTCATTACTTGGAATATGTGATTCTAACCTTCGGGCTCGCTTTTAGCTTTTGTTCCGTCATCTCTATAGATTTCTTTGATGGAAAATTTCTTCTAGATTGGAAAAGGTATGCGGTCAACTGTTCCTGGACGCACCGCTTGAGAAAATGTGTGCCTACATGCTAACCGCTATCGCTTGGTTGCGAGCCGAGTATGAACGAGAAAAAGTTCGTGCTCCTCCTCCGACAGTGAAACGTACTGGGGGCGTGTCCTGAGAGAATTACCGCGTTGTACCCTTCCACTGTAACATATTGTAATTGTTCCTGTCGACTAGGATGGATCGCTAGTTTTTCACTGGCTGTGTAATTAGTGGATTGCCGCTGACGAATCATATCAGGTATTATTCTCTTTCATGTGCAAAACCATAGCCATATATCTATAACATATAGCTTCTCGTATCAATTAGTTGGGGTCACATCCGTTCCAATATCATACAGTCGATTACGGTTCATCTTTGTCGTCAGCCAGCAGTGATTCGCATTTGTATCCTTTTATTCCTTAGAATTCTTCTCTAACAAACATTTTCTCTTATTTATGCTAGTCGTCTAGATTCTTTTGTAGTCATTAATTGTAATTCTAGTGATTAAGGCGTACCTTCACACAAAAAGACTGTCCGAAGATAGTTTTGTCCGAATTGTGCAGCATAAGGTGTGGACTCCCCCTTATGGCGGATCCTTGTTTGAATACAGTAAGAACACTTTCGTTCTTACTCTAGCCTTGTTTTTGATAGTGGGGCTAAGTGTTGATTGGGAACATGCAGATAGTTGCTGATAATGCATTCGGATACGAATCTCGCTATGCATATGCTTTCGGCCGATATATTACCTTGCGCATTTCAATTACGGTTCCGAGAGAGTAATATCCTTTATAACTTATCCCCGAGTGTATTTCCACCTTAATTCACAGGAATGTTCAATGACGTGCCAAAAATGCTAGCACGTTGAATGTAAGCACGACAGACGCCGTGCGCAGGTGAGCTAATTAGCTCGTAGCGACAGCAATGGCGGCTCCTAGCTCATGTCGTTCAGCTCATGTCGCTCAGGAGTTTCTTGGGGGGAATAACTATGACGTTTTGGTAGTTCTCTATCTTATTAGTCACCTTTTGTTCCCCACAAGCTGTGTCCTTGTCTGTCCACTTCGGATAAATCTTCACAAAAAACGAGTACTTTCATACCTTTTACGTACACATTCACGCACACCTCATTTGGTTTCCTAGTGCTGTGTTTTGCAGTCGATTCGTTTCGCTGTATTCCATACATCGTTTCTGTTCAGAGTTAACTTCATGACCCTCATATAGCTTTTGTTTGTGTTGAGAAGTCAATGTAACTATTCACCTGTACAAGATGCTCCTTATTCTGCCATCACCAGGCCGCTCTAAATATTCAGGAGATGTAGAAAGTCTTGTTTGCTGTCGTCGTACCCTACACGTCTTCTTTCATATGAATTTCTTTTTGCTACTTACTTTAGCAGAAACGCGTAGTTGACGTTGTAGAAGGGTCTCTCCATGTGATACAGCTTTTGTTTGGTTGATAATCCAGTGAGTAGTTCGAGTATTGCTCCAAATTCGTAGGTCACTCTTAGGCACTTAGAAGGCCATATCTATTACTGTGCAAGGGTTATTGAATGAGAAGTCCTGGTAATGTTTTTTNTTTTTTGCCCTGATTTTCGCTCTGTTGTTATTTAATATTATTTTGTTTTTGGAATGATTCTTTCCATTCACAGGTTCAACTTAGTGTTGTGCGTTGTTTCTGACGTGTCTTTTACTGTTCATTACTGTAACCGGTGACTATGGTGGTACGGTATTTGGTGTAACATTGTTTAATGCATAAAAGATAAATACTCATTTTTGATTTAACTTTTCAGAAGCTAGGTTTATCAAAATCCTTAGAAATATCTCAGGATCGAATGCTGTCAAACATAGAGCGGGGCAAAGGAACCACTGTTCCAGAAAACATAGATTCAGGAAGTGCAAGTAGTTAACAATATTTATTTATTCTTGAGTTCAAGTTATTGCTCAAATGTTTGTCGTTTATACAAGTACGTTATGACTAAGACCAGTAGAGATGATTAAGTGTCATGTTGAGTATCTTGACTAGGTGGTTCAACACCAACCTTGGGAATAAGCCTCGACGTCATTCCTCCCTTCGCCAGAGACATAACCCATGCGAGCTTGGCATTTCGTGCTCGCCGTCTGAAATTGAGAATTGGTTGAATAGGGTTGTAGTTACTGAAGGAGCTTATCACTGAATGATATTCGATGATCCCCCCATTAAAGTAACACCCCCCACTGATAGGAAAAATTGACATCAGCTGATCTTGCCTAAGGCAAACCCCGAATTCTGCACAACGACTGGTAAATTACAAGCTAATGGAGATTGTTGGAGACGCTCCAGTCGGTTCATATATGGTGAGAGCTGTTGGAGTCACCACACACTTCCACGGAGTACTTCTCGCCCAACTAACCAAGCGTTTCACTAGTGTTCAAGGGTGAGTTGTTGGTTAACGGCTTTTATTTCNATTACAAGCTAATGGAGATTGTTGGAGACGCTCCAGTCGGTTCATATATGGTGAGAGCTGTTGGAGTCACCACACACTTCCGTGGAGTACTTCTCGCCCAACTAACCAAGCGTTTCACTAGTGGTCAAGGGTGAGTTGTTGGTTAACGCCTTTTATTTCCTAGAATTTGACTTCGCAGAAATACACAAGTAACTGTATGATGTGAGCTGGATGCACACTCACAACCAGATACTTATGCGATTCTCTGTGAACGTCGAAGTTTAGCGTTGTCCTGGCAAATCAATGAATTCAGCCATTTTAGCCCCTTCTAACAAAATTCAGTTCGTTTTGGCTCTCCTCCTTGTTTCTAGTAGGTAAATCCTCACCTGTTCTTGATTCGATATGGTACATCTCCTTTTTCGATTACATAGTTAACCACATATCTCTTCTGAAATAAATAAAATAATTTTACAATATATCAGGAACTGCTTAGATGAAATAGAATAAGCCTTAGAGCGCCACTACGGTAACTGTTCATTCGATGAACCTACAAGGATTTCTACAGAATATGAGAAACCTTAGCATGCGTAACTTGAATTCAGTGTATTGGGCTTGTTCGAACTCAGACAGTAAATATCGTAATGAACCTACCCTTCGTTGAGCAACTCGAATCGATGCCGGAACTGCAGGTATTATACTTTGGAATACGTACTTCAGAATGAAAACCATGTTCTGCAACTAATTGCTAATTATTGCACATCAAATTGAATACCTACTTTAGGTTCATAACAAATTGCAAATTACGACACAGTAATGAAACAATCTGTATTGCAATTTGCAAATCTTGGATTTAGGGACAGATGGAGACGTACGTGAGTGGCGGCCGTTCGAGGGAATCGATGATCATCGGGACGACAGGTGAGTAATGAAATCAATTTCACCATTCAAAAGTTTCTTTCTTATCCACATGTTTCGATGGTTATGCCTTAGTTTATACAATTTCCATTTCGTTGGTTGTTTTTTCTTTGTTCAATTGACCGCCCTTGAAAGGCACACCATAAACGCTAGTAGCTGTCAAGGTAATTCTTCATCTTTCTTTTCTTGGAGATCACATTTGATTAATGAACTACCTTGAAACATTCTATCCAAGGTGAAAGGGATTTCCAGGGATGAATAAAATTCGAGGGATGTTAACCGGTCGACCATTGCCCCTCCCTACAAGCATACGAAGGATTTCAATCTACTACACATTAACTGCCATATCCGTCGTTTTTATGGGTTGGCTAGCGCCTCACAGACAAATCTATATGAACTCTGCACAAATGCGTCATTCCTATCTACGACCATGTGACTTTCAATATTCTTGCAAATGTTTTTACCTGGAATACTATGACGATGAGAAAACGATTCTTCACATCACAGTACATGACATCACTGAAGAAGTTTGAACAGAAGTCCGACGTGAATGCGACTGAAACCAAACGAGAACAATTAAAATACCTAACATTAACATGAAAAGCAGTACATTTTCGCCGATCAGATGGAAGGGAGATTCGGGAACGAGGATAGCGAATACAATGCATATCATTATCTCTAGTAGTGGGAAACCAATCGCCTTAGTTAATTGAAAGGGTGTTCCCACTACTGACACCCACGAACCTTACAGCTGTTACCGTCTACACAAACAATCGTCTGGCATCAATGGGCATTACGATGGATTTCGTCAGGCTTCACTACCAGTCCGCGTTATGCTCATCTTTCCAGCTGCTCTTTCTTGGTCCCGGTGACTTCTCAGTCTACTAAAGAACGACTTTTTTTTCAATGTAAAGTTGGGACTCAAAGCGACTAGTTGCACTCCAGTGAAACTGTCATTCACAGAATGTTAGACTCTTTTGGGCCTATGCAGAAGGGATTATGGCTATTCATTTATTACATATGTCGTGCTACCACAAGAAACGTCATGAGTAACTTTGAAGTAATTGCCAACAATCTATCAAGAAACACTCACTTATGAAAGCATTCGTCATCACGGCGGCGTACTGTAGAAAGTACAGAATCGGCAGCCATATGCCGATACCTGGAATCAGATAAGTTACTGACAAGTCGATTGCGATATTCATCTATGAGGAATTACCATTCGCCATCACTGGTATCGGTCGTCGGTTAAGCCATAACAGTCGGACAGCGTCTATGCGAAGATCGATGATACCGATAACCAGTGCCAGTAGGGGAGCTAATGGAAACAGTGCAGCGAACATCTTAAATTACTGGATAGGGCTCTCATCAGATTCTATAGCTTCATGTCTTATTGAAGCTACGGTATGTAACATGGAGTACCACAAATGATTGCTCCACAAAACCAACCATTGTACTTCCGAAGAGAATCACTTTTTCGTTGAACTCAGAATGAGTAAAATCGCCGGCATTTGGTTTTATCCATTCTCTGATCAAAACATTCGTTTCATCCTTCTCATTAAGCGCTTCTTCCATAGTCTCATTTCGTCCTTTGAACCACTTTCGTATTTTGATGGCTTGTACGATATATCTAGAAGGATTTGAGTAAGAAATA